ACCTTCCTTTCAAAGGAGCAGTATCCTTTTGGAAAGGGCAATCTTTCTGCACAAGATGCAGCATTATTGACATGAAACATCCCTCTTAAACGTGCAATATGTTTGAAAATGTGAACATTATTAAAACATGTTTTTCACTTCTTACAACAGAAAATTGTCTTGTATGGCAGCACAATTTTCCTATGAAGAAACAGCGTGCTTGGAAAACTAAATTGCTTTTGTTTGACATATGTACTATTCCCCAGCACAGCCTTCATGTACTCTGGTTTGAAGAGACAACTCTCACGTAAAGACATGTTTTCAATACTATCCAACAAAATGTATTGTTTGACTCAAACATCCACTCATAAGGAACGTTGCAGAAAATACAACAACACATTCTTCAAGAACGCTACACCCTTTCAAGAGAGTGCTGCATGCATACAATATAATACAATATACCATTATATGTTCAGACAATGTTTCATCGTCTTAGGACATTAAAGATGCACATTCTTCAAATTATAGTACTTTTCAAGAGGAGAGCTGTCTACATCCAAGGGTGTTACTCTCAATTTTATTTTGTTGTCTTCGAAGAATATCGCACTATGTATTGAAGAAAAAATGTACATTTTTGAAGGACATATATTACATGCCGACATGTATCATATGTTCTTCATAAACAGACCAAATATTGTGAAAAGGGGACATGTAATGTACTACTGCAATGGAATGCTCTACCATGCACATGTTGAAGGGAACACTCATTTCAAAGAGATGCGTCACTACTTTCAAGAGTTTGCAAACCCCAAGGGGGAGAAGTGGCAACGAGTTAGGTCCTGGCACTTTTTTGATTTTCGCCAGCCCTTCGAAAAAACACGACCCTAACACCCCCCAAAAAAACAAGATTGCACACCCCAAGGGAGGAAGATGCAGAGAGTTGGGTCCTGTCATGTGTTTTTTTTGTTTGGGTTTTGTATGCTGTAAAAAGGGAAGAAACTGCAAAGGTGCGAGTGCACAGAGCAAGCCAAACTATTGCAGGTGTATGAACAAAAAAAGGACTCTCAGTCTGTCCCCTTATAACCGAACGTAACGTAACGTAACGAAACGTAAATGTAAGTGTAATTGTAATTGTAATGTATGTAAATGTCATGAAATGTAACGCAACGTACTCGTAATGTAAATGTAATGTATGTAAATGTGATGTAATGTAATGTAATCAATGTAACGTAAATGTAGTGTATATATATAATGTAATGTAATGCAATGCCATGCAATGGAATGGAATGTAATGTAATGTAAATGTCCTGTCTGTAAATGTAATATAATGTAATTTAACGTTTTTTAACGTAACTGCAATGTATGTAAATGTAATGCCATGCAATGTAATGTAATGTAACGTAAATGTAATATCTGGAAATCTAATGTAATGTAATGTAATGTAATGTATATAATGTAATGTAATGTAATGTAACGTAATGTAATGTAATGTAATGTAATGTATATATGTATGCTGTTTCTGTCTGCACCATTCTCATCATATTCTTCCATCACGCAACACTGGGATAGGACGATCCATGTCGACCTCCAATTTATCCTCCCTGGCAAGTGAAGCTTGGCTCCGGGGGATGTCACCAATAATTTATCTGGGTTTATTCCCCGAAAATGGCACTTTGAATGGGAGACAATGGGCAATAATGGGCATATGTGTCGGAAATGGGGATTCAAGAATCCGAAAACGGGAATTTCAAGGGATAGCCTCTAGTAAATCCAAGCTGGGATTTCTGCTGGGAGCAACATTTCCAATCGTTGGATTTCTGGAAACTTTTCCGTTCCCCTCAGAATTTTGAGATGGGTGGCACAGCCACCGTATCGATTCGTTTCCTTCCCTTTGTTGATGTCGTCAAGTCTTGAGGTTGCCCTATTTCAGGATGGTATCAGGGTGGTTTCCCTCTTCTGAACGAAATCAAGTGAACAAATGACATGGAGTGCACCTAAGCAGCTGTAGCTATGCTGGTCTCTTCTGGCCGTATCCAATCGCCTCGTACCCTGAGGAAACGGCAACCGAGTTTCAGGCGCGATGCGGTGCGGAGGGCCAAGAAAGGTTCCCGGCTTCCACAAGCAATCCATAGGATCCATAGGATCCATAGGATCCATAGGATCCATAGGGTTCTCAGAGACCACAGGCATGGTTTTTTCAGGGTGCGAGGGCAAGTTGTATGTGGTTTTTGCAGATGGTTTTTCAAGTTCGATTTTTGCAAGCCATTGATTTGTGTCTTGGATCCTGTTCAAAAACAGTTTTTGAAAAGGCAACTTCTCAAACACTGACTTTGAAATGGACCGCTCATGTCTTTGATATATCTTATGGCAGTGTTTAACGACATTGAATACTGCTGCAATGCACTTTATTGCACGTTGTTTTTTACATATGGCATGCAGCACAAATGACAGAAATCATGCACAGAAATTCACTCGTTGACACTTTTGGGTCGGCCTGCTATTATTCTTGATTTGCCTCAAGACGAAGGATAGATGGAAACCAGACGTGCCAGGACCAAAACTGGGTCCCCCAGTTACAAGTTGGTTTGTAACCCCATCCTAGCTAGCCTAGTTGTAGGCCAACTTACCTATGCAGAGCGCGCCTGCCTGTACTTTAGGGAATGCAGGGAATGATTCTCAGTCGCAAATGGTGGAGCCAACATGATCACGACTCCGCGCTGTCAGGATCTCGTGGAAGATTTCTACAGAAGCATGCGACGGCATCGAGAGAGGGAAGAACAGCTGCAGATGCGATCGAGGGAGGCAATGACATCGTTGAACTCGCTGATGAAGAGCTGGAACGTCGTGAAGCAAGAACTCTGATGGGCCGCTGAAAGGCTGGTTGAGGTGAAAATTATCATAGCTTACCACGGATGGTTGAAGCGACATCAGCCAACATTTTTTTCATCAGCAGAACTTCCCATTTCCAAATGTACACTAGTTTGAAGCCAAACCAATCCCAGATCATGACACATACCGAAACTGATGCAAGTCAGAATGATGATTGTTTGACTTTTTGCAAGTTTGACCTCAACTATCAGACAGGATTTAGGAACCTTACCATTCCTCAGCAGCAGCGCACGTACCGTCGAAGACGGTTGTTGCGGGTGTGGGTCCAGATGTTGGTCCCTTGTCTTTTTCCGGATCAAAGGTTGAGGGTTTAAGCAACCATGGCATCAAAGTCAAGAATTCTTTGGGTATCGCTGAGTTTCACCCTGGTACTCCAATCCCAAAATAGCTGGGACCTATGGATGTTCTCAAGAGGCCAACAGCGGACCCAATCTGGTGTGCTCAGCCTCGGCAGTCTTGTCAGTGTTCGGCGGGAAACAGTCCGAGGTGTTGACCGGGGAAGTTTTCCACAACGAAAAATCAAAGCGACCAAATGCAATTGGAGGTTTCCGAAAATGGTGGTACCCCAAAATGGATGGTTTATTTTATAATTATAATGGAGAATCCTACTAAAGATGGATGATTTGGGGGTACCGCCATTTTAGGCCTTTGGGAATCAAAACGCCGGCTGAAAAACCATCCTTTTTGAATCTTAGGTATACATATACACGTATATATGTACATATATATATATATGTACACACACACACACATATATATATATATATACACACACACGTATATATATATATATACCTTGTAATATATACGTGATATAAAATATACAACACATTTCTAGCCCTAAGTAGCAAAACACAGGGAGAAGATCAGCCCGTCCAGGCTCCAGTCACGACCCCGGGGAAGAACGAGCTTTCGGAGGAGCGGAGCTGGGTCAAGGGGCATGTAATGGGACCATGGGAATACAATGGGAAAATCCATGGGAAATATGGTGGGAATGGAATGAATATCATGGGAATATCTTTGGAATATGTTTTTTTGGATGGATTTTGGATGGTTTGGTGGCATTTGATGGTGGTATAAGAGCTATAAAGCCAACCAGAATGGTGGTATGGCACGCGGATATAATGTGGGAATATCATGGGATACATAACCAACAATGTGGTTTGTGGTTGGTGTCTGAAAGTGGCGTATGATTAACGCATGCATTTAGGGCTAACTAACTATTTTCAGACAAAACCAAATCCCACCACAAGAAAGAAAACATCATGAGGTAAACCTAGTGACATGAACCATTTCCATCCATTTCCATCATGGACTAAACCATCCATTTCCATCATTTTTGTTCATGAAATTGGCTAAAGCCCCAATGACATGGGAAGGCGAGCATGACCCTTTTGGAAGGATGGAAGTTACTCACCCTCAGGAGCAGTGCTGCGAGTGGTTCGGCCTTTTCGCACGCAACCGCATTATGGTGCTGACGTGCTGTCTGCTGGGGCACATTGGTGCACAGCTATACAACACCAATGGAGGTTTATATGGGGAATATCATCTATAGATGATGGGAACATATCACCATTTTATCATCAACTATACTAAAATGGGAAACTCATTTGCTATGTTTGATAAGGTATTTTCGAGTGAACACCAGGGGCCCAGGGTGAAGCGACCCAAAACCCGATTTCCAAAATTCAGTTGGCGAACCAGAAAGAAGGAAATCGTTGGGTGAGTAAATGCCTCCAACACCACATATGTTTTAGGTGGGTACACGCCTCTTAAAGAACACATATTTTGAGGTGGGACATTCACCCAACAAACACATTTCGAGGTCAGAAATTCACCAAGAAAACACATAATTTGATGTGGGAATTTCACCAAAACATGTAGATCCAGAAGAAAAACACACACAAAATGGGTGATAGATTGGTGATAGAAATATAACTGTACTTACTACCCGGGAAGCCGGGTTCCGTTTTTCATATCCTTTCTGGTTTTTGGCAAAACCGCCAGGTGCTGTTATTCTTGGGCCCTGGAGATGCCCAGCTGGAGCTGAAAGCCTGGGAGGCACCTATGGAATGACCATCCATTCACCAGCGATTTTTTAAAGGCAATTTTGTGGGAGGTTTTTGACCCACCCAATGATTGGACTTTGATTGCCCCAATGAGTTTACTGGGCTTCTCAATTCTTTCTCAAGAGCTGTCCGGCTCTTTCCACGTGGTGGTGTCCGGCTCTCCGGCTGTCTGTCTTCACTTGTTTCCCTTGTCTCCGAATTCATTTGTCTCCCAGTCTCCCAATTCATTTGTCTCCCAGTCTGGCTCATGGTGTCTCCAGATGTCTCCCAATTCATTTGTCTCTCTTCACTTGTCTCACTTCATGTATCTCCCAGTCTGGCTTGTGGTGTCCAGCTCTTTGGACGTTTATCGTTACTTGTCTCACCTTATTTGTCGTCAGATGTCTCTGTTCACTTGTCTCCCTTCATTTGTCTCCCAGTGTGGCAAGAGGTGTTCGGCTCCCGATATTTCTCTGAACTTATTTCCCTTCATTTGTCTTCCAATGTGCCTATACTAGTGTCCGGCTCTTCGGATGTCTCTCTTCACTTGTCTCCCTTCATTTGTCTCCCATCATGCCTTGTGGTGATCGGCTGTCCAGCTCTCTGGATGTCTTTCTCTATTTCATCTGTCTTGCAGTGTGCCTAGTGCTGTCTGGCTCGCCGGATGTCTCTCTTTACTTGTCCCCCTTCATTTGTCTCTCAGTGTGGCCAGTTCTGTTCGGCTGGGAGACAGCTAAATTAGGACACTGATGATAGACAAAGAGAAACATCTGGAGACCTGGGCAGCACTAGGCACACTGGGAGAAAATGAAGGGAACCAAATGAAGAGAGACATCCAGTTGATTTGTCTCCAATCATCGGTCTGCCTTTGTGGTGTCCGGCTCTATTGCCTGTTCGCCTTTGTGTGTCTTCCATCATTTGTCTCTCACCATCTGTATCCCATATACTTCATCTGTCTCGGAAGTCATTTGTCTCCGATCATATGACTGCCTTAGTGGCCTGTGTCCTGTTCTAGTTTCATCATGATTTCATTTGTGTTTCGTGTTTGTTTCTGTTTTTTGCTCCCTTTGTGATCTTTGTGTTTTCTTGCTGTCTCAAGATGAAAATCACGTTCCACCACGTTTTCTTGCTTGCATTTTACCACTTGTCTCCCACTTGTCTCCCACTTGTCTCCTACCTTGTCTCCTACCTTGTCTCCCTCTTACCGTCTCAGATACAAATGGCGAGACAAACAATCAAAACCGTGTGGCATCAGAATATGTTTCTTGTGATTCATGCTGTTCTCGATTGACATGGATCAACAATTGCCAGCGTCAGGAGCTAGTATAACCACAAACATGCACACGTACGCTGCAATGGATATGGAACAACTGTTTGGGGTCTACGGGGGTGTAATTGGAGAAGTCTTGGTGATACACCCTGGGGAATACAACTTGTGGAGAATAGATTCTTCTCTTGTATGAACATCATGGTGATATCTGAGGAAATAACTTCTGCGGATACACTGTGGATATAATGACAAGAACATGATTTGGGTTGCCAAAGACTGGGAGACCAATCGTCCCAATTTATGGACATATACTGTAAATAGCGGCATGATGCTAGACAATTCGATTTTGAGGGCACCCAATTTTGAGAATCTGGGTGTGCACATCAAAGACCGGCATGTGAAAATTAATTGTGACATACAGTATATTCGCTGCACACCAGATGTTTGCCCGCCACGGATCCCGCATATCTTTTGACACGCTCAAGTCCCTGCATAGTTTCTAAGACAGCAAACTCAAAACCCTAAAAACCTAAACGCAAACATCCTAAAACCATAAATTCTGGAAACCTAAAGTCAAAATCACCGCGCATAGCCAGTGCTTTCGTTCCTCTGCTGACAATTGAAGAACATTATTTGGGTGTAGGATATGGGACAAATCACAGAGATCGATAATTTGGATTTGAAAATCCTGTTTCCGGACCCAAGATTGATAATATACAACTTTCCTTGTTGGCTAAAATCCTCCAACCTTGCTGCTCATCTCCCTATTGTTGAATTTTGAATTCCCCTGTTCATTGGCCGATATTAAAATTTGTAGCTATATACTCCAAATTCTTGTTGGTGATCTCTGTTTCCTTCTTTCTTTCTTTCTTTTATTTCTCTCCCTCTCTCTCTCTCTTTCTTTTACCTGGGCCAACGTGCACATTCTTTACAATGTATATGTGGGTGTGCCGGAAAATCTTGCAAGCCTCAAAATAGCTATGTTCATGGGGACCATGACAACCCCGGCAGGACAGTGAGTCAGACAGTGAGTCCGGCAGCGGGTCGGAGAATGAGGTGTGACCCTGGCGAAAGCTGGTTGCCCTGGAAAAGCATAAACCCCTGGCCTGTTTAATTTGGACCAAAAATCATGGCAGATATGCTCTTTCTGCGGGTACTATTGAACCAGCTTTTTATCTGGGGTTGACATTACTTGTTTTCCGGGATTTTCTTAGATGGATTTGTCTAAAGGGTGGGGAAATTTGCCGGGGTGATGCTAGATAGCTGTATCTTTAGATTTTGAGACAGCGCTTGGAGAGGTTTGAAACTTGTAGTGTCAAGCTGTTGGAATGTCCCAAACTTAGAATCGGAATGATCTTGTTGAAGGTCTGGAGGGGCCTCTACTCCCCGAGTCAGAGTTCAATGCCCATCCTCAAACACAGTGTTTTGAGCGCAGCAGAGACATATTTATATACATACATGCAAAGACATGTATAATATGTATGTATAATATATATATGTATGTATAATATATATGTATGTATAATATATATATATATGTATGTATAATAATGTATGTATAATATATATGTATGTATAATATATAATATATATATATTATAATAGTGTGTATATGTATATGTAATATGTAATATGTAATATGTACTATGTAATATGTAATATGTAATATGTCATATGTAATATGTAATATGTAATATGTATATATATCTATATGTATATGTATATATGTATATATGTATATGTATATATGTATATATACATATATATATATATATATATGTATATGTATATATGTATATATGTATATGTATATATGTATATATACATATATATATATGTATATGTATATGTATATGCATATATATATGTATATGCATATATATGTATATGTATATGTATATGTATATGTATATGTATATGTATATGTATATGTATATGTATATGTATATGTATATACTTGTCCGTATATGTACATGTACACACACGTATATATATATATATAGATATGTATATAATGTATTGTACTGTCATGCCATGTCATGTCATGTATGTAACTAACTAACTAACTCACTCACTCACTAACGAACAGACGAACAAACGAACGGACGGACGGACGGACGAATGAATGAACGAACGAACCACCAACTAACTAACTAACTAACTGACTGACTAACTAACTAACTAGCTAAATAGCTAACTGACTAACTAACTAACTAACTATCTAACTAACTAACTAACTAACTAACTAACTATTTTTTGAATGCATGAATCAATAAAGAGATAGATAGATAAACAAACAAGCAAACAAATAGATAGATAAATAAATACACATATATATATATATTTATACATATATATATGTAAACAAACACTTAAATAGATACATGACTAAACAAATAAATAAATAAATATATATCTATATATGAATAAAACACACACACACATATATATATATATATGTACATATTCATATTCATATATGCATGATGTATGTATATACGCTGATATCTAATGCGATGCAGTTTGGGATATCTCTGGAATTCATCCAATTTTTGCAGGATGTTTTGCGCCGAATGCCAGGCGCGATGGGCCAAGTCCGTGGTTCAGGCGCAAATCCCCTGGCGGTTGACATGGTAAGCAAATAGATATCCTCAAAGGTTCTCTTTTTTGGAACGATGCTTGGGTTGTTTTTTTTTTGGATGCTTTGCCCATCTGTCGTCCACCATAGCTCGCTGAATCCTCATGTGCGCACTGATGTCATCCAATCATGGGCCAAGGCTCCTGAACCTGGTTTTCCATGGAGGAAGGGGTAATATGGCCACAGGAAGTCCCAAACGGGCCTAAGAGACCTTAGATTTTGCCCCGGTGCAAAGGAATGTCATTGATCCCCTGTCCAGCTTGGTTGCGATCCCAAATATTGCGAGAAAACAGTGGAAAATTGACCCAAACTACAGCATCTTCAGATCTATCCACGTCCGAGGTACTCTCTATTATGGGTAGTTCTAACCTGTTCCAACCCCATCAAAATATCTGTGTAAACCCAGCTTAAAAGGAGGTTGTAGCCCGTGAATTTTCAGCAATGTTCAGCCAATTTGTTTGCCATCTCGCCAAACTGTCAAAAACGTGAAGTCTTTTGTGATGAGTACCCTCTGGTAATTTAACATAGCAATGGAAAATCACCATTTTTAATGGGAAAATCCACTATAAATGGCCATTTTAAATAGCTATGTTAGTTCACCAGAGGGTATCCAAGATCAATCATGAAAACCTGGTGGCACCCGCTTCCGGGACTCATTGGGTCATGGTGATGCCATGGCTACGGTGGGCGCTGCTTATGGTGCTGCCATGCTCAGGTCTGGTTTCAGGATGGCTGGTGGTTGGCATCATGGGAATGTGACCCTGTGAGCCATGAAAAACTCAGGTTTTTTTTGCAAAAGACATGGGATATTGTTGGGAGAATTGCCATGATTTGGGATATTGTTGGGTCAGATATGCCCAAAACGGTTTGTGGCAGCGACAAGGGATCCCCATGCTCCAGCAGTTATCGCCATGGTAGGTGATGAAAGCCACGAACTTCAATGCCTTCACCTTGACCATTACCCTGGGAATTGCCCAGTGAACATCATGAAGGGTGCCTGCTATAGCTGCCTGGCCACTTCAAGCCGCACGGCGCGGGGGCAAACATCTGGCTTTTTGCTGGGCTGAGGAGATACGGATCACATGAAATCCCTAGCAGGGCGTGTTTGACCAACAAAAAATCACTGAGGAGCTGCAGCTGAGGTCCACAAAGTCTACTTAGTCTACTTTTTGGGAACCCATTCATCTAAGGTTCACAAGCAGGTGCCAACTGGGCCTGCCTGCCAGATGGCGTTTCCTCTGGCGGCAACTGCGGTAGCATCCAACTGCCCTCGCAGGCCGTGGTGATGGGGGACAGCAGCCCAGGGCCCAGGGTGGGCAAATGTCGATGGTCATTGTTGGGCCGCTTGCCGGGTTTGTTGGGGCCTTGCAGTACCCTCTGGTAAACTAACATAGCTATGGAAAATCACCATTTTTAATGGGAAAATCCACTATAAATGGTCATTTTCAATAGCTATGTTAGTTTACCAGAGGGTAACTCCATGGCAACTCTGCCTTCATCCATGGTGGGAGGATGACCTTCTTGGTGGACCCTCTTCATCTACTAGGTGTTTTTCCCATGGCACCTGTGGATAGAGCACTGAAAAACCCAGTATGGCCATGGCTTAACTTGGAAGAGCAATGGCCAAACCCAATTGCTAATTCTAAGCAATGAAAACAATCGGTGGGATCAGTCAATTTGAGCCCATATCATGATAGTGGACGGCATAGATGTCCTGATTCCACTAGCTGCTTAAGTACTGGATGGGTAATCCCCTTTGAAAAGCATTCCAAAAAGACATCATTGGCGAGACATCTCATGTAGGAGTCCGAACAAGAGTGTGGATGATGGGCCGATCCAGAGCCGACTGCCAGGATGGCTTCTACAAAGGCTACTGCAGTTTCTTTGAGACACTTCGGCTGCAATCAGTGAAGGAAAAGGCCGGGATCAGAGACCTGAGGTGACTTAAAATTGAAACTAGACCTTGTGCCAGTTTTGGATTTGCAGGCCATCTAATTTTGGGCGTTTAAGATTTTTGTAATTGCTAGCGGTTTGGATCCCCATTACAGTAGCATTGTCAGGTGATACCTCTATTTTTCACACCCATACCCATGCGCTTGACAAATAGCCCTTTCACAAAGGGAACCTGGAGACTTATTTTTTTTCAGCTGAACTCGGCAACGACGATTGGGACTGTCAACCCCACATGGCCATCTAGAAGGTTTTATGTTGTGAATTGTTGTGACATCCATTGTATATATATACTTTTTTCCTCCGCATCTATAAACAAAAATGGTCCCTTCAACCACAATTGTTTGAAAAAAGACGCTGTTTGGGGCCCCCAGATAGAAAACCTGAAACATGCTGGATGGGGCAAGTTCTAGTTCTGAGGAGCTGAACTTGGGTAACAATCGCGATGCAGTCATTAGCCACGTATATGCAGCACAGGGGGAATACGCAAAGCTATGAATTGCCAATATTTTGGTTAATGTGCTAATGATTTCGACATATCAAATACACTTATATATTGCAATTATCAGTACTTTTACCAGTAGAAAACTAGATAGATCAACAGCATTTATTAGCAAATTACATGTATATGTAATATGTAATATATATATACACGTATATATATAATATTATATATATATACATAAAAGACACGCATACATTCCAACATGTCTTAAGTATTCTCAAGATCCGACATCACCCATCGGTCACAAAAAGCCTTTCAGGAAGCCCACCACCCCCACGACGCTGCTCGGCCTTCCAGATATGTGGCCGGACATATCCCGCACTGGGATGGGAGATACTGGGATATAATGAGATATCTCATAGGATAAAATGGATAAAACCACCAGAATATGGGTGTGTCTGAAAATTGGGGAGTCACTTGAGTCACTCCCAATGAAAATTGACACATTGATAAATTGATAGTGAAGAGAATGAAGAATCAGGGCATACATTTTCAGAGCAATGGTTGCCGACGCCAAGGCTCAAAGATGATGGCATAACGACTTCAGAACTCTTTTGCAGTTTCACTTTCAAATAAGATTTGCATCACCCATGTGCCGAAATTTTGGTAGCTGGTGCCTTGTGCTCCTGCGGGTTCAGAATAATTACATCCACATATCTTGGAAATCAGCCCAAATATTTGGTCCTGGTAGTAAAAAACAGTTTTTTTGCCCTATCTCGGGTCCCAGTTAAAACCCGGAAACGCTCCAAGTTATAGGCCAATTTCCAACTAGACAAATCTTGCAGAAAAGTGGATTTGTTTCAGACGATGATTGTTTTGTTGTTTTAAGATATTTAACCGCCTTCGGCGTGTTCCGCCGGCCACCATGGAAAGAGCTATCTGCAAGCCGCAAAAAGCGGTGTAGAACACAGTTTTTGTGCACAACAGCGCTTTTTGCAAAAGACGGCTTTGGCGCAAAAACATGGCTTTTGTTCAAACCACGGTTTAAATTTAAACCAAAGCATGTGTGTAAGCCAAGGTTGTGGATAAGGCCATATGGAAAGGTTATGCGTGCAAAAGTTGTTCGGCACAAGAGCCAGTGGGTCAAGTATTGGATATAAGAAGCGACGGAGCAAACCGATGGCAAACACAACAAAAAAGACGGAACCAACCATCCAAATGACAGCAAGATGTGCAAAACCAAGCCGGTGTTCAGCGAGGCGTGGGCAGAGTTGAGGCCAGCACAACGTAAGGAAAGATGAAAAGGAAACGCAGATGAAGAAGAGCGAGGGGGGGAGGGGGTTCAAGTTCGACGAGGCAAAAATCTGCGCCAAGGGGAAAGTCTAGACAAAGACAAAACAGACAGTACAACTACCAACAAGCAGGATCCACAAGACACGCCGGCAGGCCGGTGGATTTGTTGACGAACTGTTTTCGATAATTTTGGTGGTTTGGTTTTGTTGTGTTTATGCTTCCGCCTCGAAAACTAGATCTTATCGTTCCGTTGCAGTGTAAGAAGTTGTCGTAGTTACTGGTTACGTTGATGAAGTGTCAGACATTCCTGTGCTTACGTTGAAAATGATGAGGTTGGGGGGTGGGTGGGGAGATGTTAACCTTCCTTGGAAGTGTAAGAGGTTGTGAGCAGTTGAACCAACTACTGGCATGAATGAGCAAGAAAAAACAAGAAGCAGCGCTTGAAGTCATTCGACACGACCTGGTTTACGACAAGTGCGAGAGACTTGAAACAAAAGACAGAACACAACCACAAGCTAATTCACGGTTGAAACATTAAAAAATTGGGAACACATATGCAGCATATGCATAGATTTTCCCACGCAGGACACGTTTTCATCTTGGGATGCAAACGACACTACACATGAGAAAATCAAACATGCCAAAAAATTACGTTCAAAACTCGATGTGGTTTTCCTTCGAACACTCTAAATTCAAGCAACATGTACACATTCTGTTAATGCACGTCCCACGCCTGCCACACGAAATGCACTTCGATTCAGCCAGGCAACTTGCAAAACATTCCGAAATCACGCACGGAAAACGTACCACCTTTTTATTTCTAAAATGTGGTGCGTTGTGTTGCTTGTTTGCTGGGGCTAGGGGTTGCAGGTTGCAGGGTTTGGAGGATGTTATTGGTCACTTTCAACTTCGCCCAACCTCGAAAATGATGGAACAACCGCAATGATCCCCCAATGAATGCATGACGGGACTCCCTCGTCTTGTTACTTGAATTTGTCTGAATCCCATCATAGTGTATCTTGTTTTCCCAGTGGCTAAATTGGCTGAATTGTGGCATTGCCTATGGACAAAACTATTTCTTCCACACCTTTCTAGGGGACTCAATTGTCGAGGATCAGCCAGTCCGGGTAGCTAAGGACCACAACAACGACTCCATGCAACGTCAGGAGGCGGCTGGGACTACTGTAAGTTGAAGGAATCCCCAAGTGACCCACATGACCCACATGGGTAAAGGGGTGGGATACAGCCAGACTGGCTGATCATCAGTTGACCATACCAGTTTGGAGGTGCAACTGAACACTTGGGGAAGATTTTACACATGTTATCAGTCAGGCCACAAGTTTTCTTGTGGATTTTCAGCAGCAAACCTGTTTCAATCTCAAGCTCTATGCTATGGGATCCATTTGAAGTTTGAGCACCCCTGAAGATCCACCAGGCTGCGGATCGTGAACCGGTGCATGAGCGAACCCATTTGGATCGCGCATGAGGTGACTTGGAAGACACATGACACGTTGATCACAGTTTTCAGATGAAATATGGGGTTTGGTGCCCGGATGTTCCCGGCAACTTCCAGCTGTAACGGCGACTCCTCCTTCGCCATGGGTCAAACCCTGAGCTGGACAGTTTTCCCTAGTCATGATATGTCATGATCACCCATTTTCGCTGTATGCAACTATTGCATCAATAAAAAGGTTTTCAATCGCCGTCTTGGGATGGAAAGCTTGGACGATTTCGTTGTGGCACTGTTTTTTTTTGGATAAGTTGGAGAAACCTTCGTCTTTTTTCTTCTTTTTTCCGTCTTTTTCAACATCAAATCATCCCATGTTTGGGTTTTGACAAGGCCACCCGCGGTCAAATTGGGCCGGGGATCCAGCATCTTGGTCGCGACGGAGTGGAACATGGGGTCAAGCACTTTCCTACAGTTCCTGGTGCCCCCAAGATAGCGTTCAGTTGGTGCACATAACTCTAATTTCACTAGGACTTATGATAGATATATCGAACTAGTTAATGGGATTATAAACCAACTTATAACTGGGGGGGCACCACCTTGTAGGCTTCCTGGTTTTTGGGGCTCTGCTTTTTCCGGGCACCCCTCAAAATCCTCCCTTTGGAAACATTGACAATCTTGAAGATCGTTCATATGATTGGGCTTGCATGGGCTTGCCATATTATGTCCCAAAGTTTCGTCCCGCCCAGGCCCCTTTTCCTCGCCGAAGTTTAGTTTTGAATTCTATTTTCTATTTCCAGATTTATGGATAAGATATGCAATATATATGTATATATATATACATACAATAGTAAAAATCCAATTTGTACACTTATCCATTTGGCTATTTATCAGCTTTAGCAAACTTACCTTAAAAAACAATTTTATGTACGTATCTATCTATCTATCTACCTATCTATCTGTCTAAATGAAAAGACTTTTCTGTGAAATCTGCGTCCTGACCTTCCCCAGGGGCAATCCCATCCAAGGAATTTTCTGATTCCACCTGATGACTTTCACGACTTTTGCACGCCGGACAAGCTTACAGGCAGCACTTCCGACCTGTTGGAAGCATCCAATTCGAGGATTTTCTCCAAACCGGGTAGCTCTGAGGAGTTCTTGGGGCTCTCACGGGTGACTTGAAGACTTTCACTGTGCATGTGGGCAAATTCGAGTACTACGAAGTACTGGACCTAATCAGGAACCAGTCTGGAAAGTCCACAATACATTGCAGTTGTATCATTTCCTCTGCCGTGGGCCGTCGTATGCTCAAAGGCAGATTTTCTGGGCATCAATGGTTCCATGGGATGTGAACATCTTCGGATCAGGGATGGCCTATCGTGCTAGGCAGCCTAGTGCTTCCATGGCTTCAAAGTCTGTGAAAACTCGCCAAGTCTGTAGCAAATGCCCATCCCAACTTTGAAAACTCTGTAGATCACTGTAGATCTGAGATTTTCTGCTATTTCTCACTTTTTCAGGTGTTGAATTGCCAATTTCAACCAGCTAAATTCTCCCCTTGGTTCAGTGACAGCGGTCAGGGACGCGTTACTGGCCAAAGATGCTGTGTGACGACGATGGCCTGCGGCTTGGCTTAGCTGAAGGCAAAACAATGGATTGGTCTTGTAAAATCCACTGATTTAGAAGCACTGTGCCCAAATATGGATAAATATTGGGGTCCTGTTTCAATTTTCCCTTGAATCCTGGGATTTTCCATGCTAACCCAACCACCAGTTCACCCTCAGTTTGAACACCAGATTGGGCGGCAGGTATGCTAGATGACCTTCCCAATGGTTTTTGAGGCTGCACCGGGTCTCCCTTAATTGACCCACTATCTTTGTGTACACCTTGGGTAAATGGTGGAATTTGATTCCTGCCAAAGATTTCTTTAGTGTACCCTCTGATAATTTAACATAGCTGGTCGAAATAGTGAGTTTTCCCATTAGAGATTGTGATTTTCCATAGTTATGTAAACGTTTACCAGAGGGTATCACAATAACATTAGCGACTTTTTTACCTCCCAATTTAGCGGCAGAGTACAAATCATCACAATTCTCCAAGGCCTACCATCCAAAACTCCCAAGGCATTGCTTGCTTGGCAGTAGTGGTGGCCCTGGCGAGGGCTGCAGATGCTCGGAATGACGGGGAAACATGAGGTCCTAAACCATGGAATGTTGGAATGTGTTGGAATGTGGGATAGATTTTTGTTCCTGAAATTTTTGTAGACCAAAAATTCGAGTATATGGTTCAACATTTTTGCCGCCAATTTTTGGCTTGGGAGTTTGCTTTCCCAAATGACTGTGTTTGGGCAGAAGTATGTCTCAAAATAGGGAGGGCACCACTAGAATCCAATGTTTCATCATCAATTCCCACTTTTTTTGCGCCATTCAAATTGCAATATTGAGGTATACCCGCATACTCTTTTTTTGGACAAAGCCAAGACAGATGAGTTGAGAAAGACTCACTACCTTTCGGATTTGGTTATACTTAATCTTTACCGTCCATTTTTGGGACACCACTCTTGCCTGAAACAGTCTGAAAAGGGATGGCTAATCCAGTAAGGCCCAACGAGTAGCTTCATGTGGAAGCGTTCCAAGTTGCCAAATTCAAAACTGAAATGGTTCTTGCAGATTTTTGTGGCAAGCAAGTTGGGGGCTACCTTGCCAAGTTGGGCATTCTCTCGACCACTGGGGCCCAATTTGAGAAGAGTTCCACTACCAGACTAGCAGCAAGCGTGCAAAAGCCACTGCAATGCCCAAACGACACGTGGCCATTTTTCCACTGTTGGCACAGAGAATCACCTCGCACCAGTCACAATCTATCCGGCACTTTTTCTGTATAACGACGCGTTCAATATTGTGTGGGTATGTATTTACGCCCACGTGTATAAACACGCGAACACGTATATTCACATTGCAGCGTTGGCTTCAAGGTTTGTATGTGGGGCCACGCACCGTTGTGTGGGTGCTCCCTTTGTAGTTGTCACTCCGAGTGTTCCACCTTATTGCTTCTGAGATAGGGCGAGGTGGGTACGACGACTACGTTGACTTTGCAGCCAGGCAACTTCGTCAGCTAAAGCTGAAATCGATTCTGGGGATATGTCCGTGCCTACCTGAAGCACGCAGCTCGGCGTGTAGGCTCTTGCGCTTTGAAGCGCAGGATCCGCGCGGCCCAGTGGACATATTGGCATAAGGGCGAGAATCTTCGGATTGCCACAGCTAAGATGCTGCAGGACTTGCACAAGTAGACAACATGAACGGCTGCGGAACAAAAAATGCATTGTGCTCCAACACTTCCATGTCCACAATGTTCACATCACTCACCTGCTCCTGCCCCCCCTTTGTCTGAATGCATCGCACATGTCATTCCATGCCATTCCCTGACCTCTGCTTTCTAGAAACTAGAAATGCAATCATGCAATCTACTGAGTTTCCATCCTGATTCATCATACAGCTCTCATGCGCGCTCCACTTATGTAATGGGTCCGCAGGCCCTTTAGGTCCTTGGTATTTTTTTTTTTTACCACGTCCGTTCGTCCACGTCGTAGCCACTTTTTGCTCGTCATCTAGCCTTGCTCTACATTGGTGTTTCTTTGTCCAATGGCCGCACCAGAGTCCCCACCTTCGCATTTTGAAGACGAGTGCGTTAACTTAATTGTCGTGAACAACTAGTTTTTATTTTTCCTCCCAAGGGACTGAAATTTTCACTGCGCTACCCAGGTCCGATTGGATCCGTCCATCGCCCATTGATTCTACCTGGTGGGAAAAACGACCTTGGGAAAGACGACCCCGTGATGAGGCTCCACCACCTCCCGTGCCTGAACGAGAGCGCAAGAAGCCCGCGACGAGCCCCAATGACCCCGCTGTCCCCCTACCCCCCCAAACCCATCCTCACTTGCTTCATCCGCCTGCGCATTGGGTCAAATGGTACCAGTAACCCCGCCGGAGCTGTTGGAACCCGTCAGAAAGCCAGTAAGTGAAACGCTCATCTCATTATTTAAAAAGAGGCGAGTGAAAGTTGTGTTCCTTCTTCTGTATATATATATGCATATGTTGTACAAAGGTTCCTTGGTGTTGGAACTGGCTTTATGGCTGCCTTGCCGGCATGTTGTGGCAATAACTAAGACCACCGATAATGCGCAAGAAAATCTCGTGTCTGAAGTCCCTGGTCAGTAGCTGTCGGCACAGACGCACACATGTATACATATATATACACATAAATACACATATATATACACATACATATATATATATATATATATATGTATACATATATGCATATGTTTAGTTTGCAGATACTGTAAGTTTTATTTAGTGGAATGAATACTTGAAAACAACATTCTTCCTGTAAAGACCACTGAACATGCTGTTTTGGTAGGTTCTTTGGGGGGGTGAGCTATATATATAGTATTATTCTGTTTATTCTTATCCTTCTTCTTCTTCTTTTTCTTATTTATTCTTATTCTTATTCTTATTCTTATTCTTATTATTTTTCTTATTCTTATTCTTATTCTTGTTCTTATTCTTGTTCTTCTTCTTCTTCTTATTCTTATTCTTACTCTTATTCTTATTCTCATTCTTATGCTTATTGTTCTTATTGTTCCTATTATTCTTCTTATTCGTCTTGTTATCCTTCGTCCTTTTATTGTTATTATTATCCTTATTATTCTTATTCTTCGTACTATTCTCATTCTTATTCTTGTTCTTATTCTTCTTATTCTTCTTCCTTTTCTTCTTCTTCTTGTTATTATTATTGTTTTTTATTATATATATAATTATATATATTTATATTATAAACATGTATTCAGGTGGGTATCTCCAAACTTGGCGGATTTTCCTAAAATTATCCCGCTCCAGAGACCCTATCTCTATGTGCCTTAGGCGAAGCTGGCCAGTACGGCCAGTGTGCCCCGCCCATCGACACCAAATTTGAAGCCACCTTCGGAACGCGAGGTGATCGGCTCCGAGATCTTGCTTGACAGCTTGAAATCCACTAGGATTTTCCCATTACCCTCTGGGAAATTAACATAGCTATTGAAAATCACCTTTTTTAATGGGAAAAACCACTATAAATAGCAATTTTCAATAGCTATGTTAAATTACCAGAGGGTAACACCTCCATTTGGGATGTTTCGTTGCTATGTTTGATTGCCGCGCACGTTGATGTTGATGGGCTGATTTTTTGTCAGGTCAGCCCTGCAGTGGCGTTTCCTCCAAGGATTGCGATTTTATTGATGTCAGCCTCGTCCCTTGGCTTCACCATAATGAGATGGGCTGGGATGCGACACTTTGCCTTGTTTTGGAGCCAGGTGGATGGTTGGACCTTACCATTTCGCCTGTCCATCTCGGGCGAATGCAGTGGACCCAACAACATGCATCCGTCGGAGATCGACTGTTCAGGCTGGATAGAGCATCCAAGAGAGTTCTTGACGTGAAAAACACAAAAATTTATTGGATTAAATCAAGAAAAACCTGATTTTACTCCACAAACTGTGGGATTTTGTTTTTTACCCTCATATTTTTGGGGTATAACACTAGTGTGTGTGTGATGCTGCTATACTGCCATACAACTGTCGAAATTCCAATACCTTTGGGTAGTGGGTCCTGATGAGTCCAGAAATCTATTTCCGATGAGATCATGAGATCTGACCCTTTCAGGACGGTTTTCCATGGAAGGGGATGAGTCGGATGAGTGAAGCTTCTTATCATAAGTGTGGGCTTTGGGTGCCAAACTTTTCAGTAAAACTCTCCAGGAACCCCTGGTTTAGCATTCGATCTAATGTTGAGAGTTCCAGTGATATCGGATTTGAAGATTTGACTTTGAGATTTGTCAATTTCTGGCCGGAAATCCCCGAGCCTTCCTTCGGAGGACTCACCTTCGAGCAATGCCCCACAGATGAAGTCCTGGGTCAGCACAAGTATGAGCCTCGTTTCTGAGTTTCGTACTGTAAAATGGAGGAAATGGGGAGAGAAGACCAACGCGAGATCGTGATTTAAACAACAACATTAGGATTGGTCAGTATCGGTTAGTTGCGAAACATTTAGACAACCAAAGAACATCAAAAAGTCAGGATTTCGCCAACAAGCATGGAGAGATAACCCGCCAAAATGGATACCCAACAGCCAGCAAAACTGCGGAGCTGTCAACCTTGCCATCGGGGGAGTCAGCGGCCCGCCTGAGAACATGCAAGCTCATTACCGTGGCTATGGTAGCGTAGCGGGCTGCTACAGTCCCTGTCTCAAGCTCACGGACCCCAAGTGGAACAACACCGCGTCAGGTGCCGAGCTGCATGGTCAGGGTGGTGTCAACAAATGGGTATGGGTGAAAGTTGGAGTGATGGCCCTGCAAATTTGATCAATTTTGTATTCATTCAACATCATTCAACCGTTTTTGTTTCGCATTGATTTCTTATGAAGCAGAAAGAGCAAACAGAAAGAGCTGCTAAAGATATTGGAGCTTGCCATGGCTTCCTTTGAACGGCCCCATGTTGGTATGAGGTAGAACTGAGGACTGCGACAGGCATTTTGAGATGGGTCGGAATTAAACAGTGTTTTTTGCTGGATTTTTGTGCAACCACTGCTGAACCCTTAAGTCCCTAAAGTGCGCACCCTGAACTGCAAAGGTGGTCATGGCCAAAAAACGTCCCAAAGCGAGCCCAATTGCAATTGTTCTACTCCGGCCCACCAAGAATCCCACAGGTTTGTGGGGTCCACTCCCATCATCCAGATTGGAGCTGGCAGTATGGAGTCCCATGGAACCATGCTAGGTGAAATCCAGATGTTTGAGGGAGTCGTTTTCTGTTTAAGCTTTTCGCTATTTCGTCATGCAAGGGACCAATTTTGACCTCTTGCATGCAGATGGATGCACGATATTCATGATGATGAGGATGAAGATGAGGAAGATGAAGATGGTAAAGAAGATGAAGAAGACACATACGATAGATTATAATGATTATGCTGCTGCTGATGATGACGACGACAATGACGATGATGATGATGATGATGAAGATGAAGATGAAGGAGAAGAAGAAGACAACGACGAGGACGAGGACGAAGACGAAGACGAAGACGAAGGAGAAGCAGAAGAAGAAGAAGAAGCAGAAGAAGAAGAAGAAGAAGAAGAAGACGAAGACGAAGACGAAGACGAAGACGAAGACGAAGAAGAAGAAGAAGAAGAAGACGAAGACGAAGACGAAGACGAAGAAGAAGAAGAAGAAGAAGACGAAGAAAAAGAAGAATATGATGATGATTATGATGATGAAAGTACTAGAAGCAATATGTAGCAACAATATGTAGCAATAGTAAATAGCAATAGTAGCAACGTCAGTAGTAAGAATCAAGACAACGATCGTATAATTATGGCCGGCGCGATGCGAGTTCCAAAACATGATTTGATACAACATCATGCAGATGGCAACAATAACACATAAACAACTGTGAAAACACTTGCCCGCATGATGGATCAATAGACAAATGCATGAATATGTCGGCACACATAAATGATTACTTTACTTCAAGCAACCCCCACCAACTGACATTCTATTTGACATACTGTATATTCTGCCATTCTATTTGTCATCTTATCTGGCGTTCGCTTTCAGTTTGACATATAGTGAACTCTGGCATTTACAGTAATGTGACATTCCATCTGACCAATTCTCACATTTAATGTGACATTCTATCTGACATGTATTCATCTTTTGTGTGACATGTTCTGATAATTTACATGCTATTTTAGTATTGCACCACATTTTACCTAACATTTTATCTGGTATCTGGTGTACATATATATATAATTATATATATATACACTGTACATATATGAATATATAATAGATAGATTGTTTGTGAGCCGCAGAGAACCTTTGAGATTGCCATAGGCTGGCCCTTTGGGAGCCCCAGAAAGCTCAAGTTGACATGGCAAATCGACCTGCAGCAGGTGAATGAAACCACGAAGAGATGCTGCAGATGAAAGAAAGTTAATTCGTGAATGAACGGAAAACTGTATGTCTGGATTTTCAATGAATGAATCAATGAATGAATCAATGAATGAATCAATGATTCAACATCATACACACATATGTATATGTATATATATATATTTATATATATGTAAATGAACTTACATAGATACAGTCATAAATACATGTGTTGTAAAGTCGGCCTCATCCGCCCCAGAAATGCGTCACGTCCTGTCGCAGGTCATTCCCGCAGCGACGACGTGGCGGCGCCCTACTGCTGCCCCACGCCTCCGGTGTCGCCCAAGGGCTGTCGCAGCGGGCCGGTGGCGCAGCGGCTCGGAGGAAACCACGGGGAGACCATCACAACCTGTGGTACAAACATTGGGATTCAACCATAAGGCACAAAAGCAACTAGAAAATCATGGGTTAAACTATGTTAAACTGGGATTTGTACAAACATTTAATGATGATTGATCCTTAAAAACCTGGGGGTCAAAAAGTATGAAAAGGACGGGGACTCCCAGACTAAATCGGTGGCCGACTCAGGATCTTCCATTTTGGGAACATGCTGTTGTGCAAAAAATGGGCTACGAGGCAAAATGGGGGTTCTTTTTCTGCTTCCATTTTAGTGGTTTGGTCAGTTTGGTCCCTGCACGGTCGTGAAATGGCCGGTTGGCTCAGCGATCCCAAGACTCACCAGCCAGCAGCCTGTTTGTTATATTCCATTGTCGGAGCTTCGCCATGGCTCCAATGTGGCTCCACTTTGTCTTGAAGATGCCCCTTGGTATTGCGATCCTGTTTGGTATTGGTGGAAGAACCATGTTTGGGAGTTTCGGTTTTCGGAAAGACCGTTTGCCCAAGATATCATCCTGGTTGTGCTGGGAACGTTCGGGGATGTTGCAACATGATTTGGCCAAATGCATACTTGCACACAACAGGCTTGCGGAATTACAACACCACGACACAGACATTTGTCAATCGACTATTGGCTTTTTCAATCCGTATCTATTTTTAACAATCCATCATAATCCATCATATAAAATGGTGTGGCACATCGAATCCACAATGTTGTCCAGGGGGCAAACCGCCCGTGGCTGAAAAAGACCAACAAAGACCAACCAAGACCATTGCCGAGTCACCGGTGTCCCTCTAGGGATCCAATCTGGCGTGATATGCCTGTGTTCAATAGATACAGTTTTAACCATCTAAAAATGGAACATGTTCCAGCAAACTGATTATTAGAGACTGGATGTCTTACATTTCCATCTTTTGGCTGAGACTGGAAGGGGCCAACCAGAACACGATCTCCGAGGCATTTCCTTCAGTTGAGTACCGCCCTCCGGAGTGATGTGTCGCAGTCGGGAGGACAGCCCGTGGGTGGCCGATCGTACTCCCGAGCTGGTGAAAACTGAGTAGAAGGACTGATGAAGGTAGGTTAATGACTCAGGGGAGGTCCCCACGGTTCAAATTGAAAACTGATCATATTGGCTTCCTGGAAACTATAGCAGGCATTGTATGGCATTGTGCTAGGCTTTGAAGGAGAAAAGGCCTCATGTTGCTCCGGGAAATGGTGAAGACTTCAGAAGCATCCACTCCAAGTGGCCAGCTCCTTCAATCTGAATTAAGGTTAAGCCAGGATGAATCGAATTGTTAATAGGGCTGGGGACCAATTTTCATGGTAATTTGTCAATATTTTCAGGGTAATCCTTGAATTAATAGTCAGTTCATCGGGATTGAGTTGACATTATGTGGGGGTTGCATCAATTATTCTTTTTGACACATGAAGTGAGTCATGGGTTCAGAGTTAAGACCATACTGTTGACAAGAATATCTTCCATTTTCTGAGTACACAAAACTTGACACTTAGCTACATCAGTAGTGCCCGTAGATTGGATGACCACACAAACTACCACCAGAGGGGAGTGAGTTTCATGGTCCTTCACGCCAAGAAAATGTTTTGGATTTACTATAGATGAATCTTGCTCATGACTATACACAATATATTGGACTTTAACACATAGTAGCACATACCTTTTAAGATCTACTGTCATGTATTGTATAATACATATCATACGATGTATGACATACAATTTGCAATCCATTATGTATAATACATAACACACACATCTTTTCGGGACCACATCGCAGTTCTAAAACCTCTGGGACCCCCGATTGGCACATCAAGGCCCCCCAATTCCTACCATGTTCTGCTGGCTTCCTGCCTCCCGGGCCACGGATAACTGTACCAAAAAATGGCAACTGTCAGCATCCCTAGGATATACATGACTTAACAGTTCTCATTCAAAAAAACACATACCCTCTTTGATCATGAAAATCACTTCGCTATGGAACATGACCATTGAAATCATCGTCAAATCATCAAACTGGGCCCATGTGCGGCCCATGACTTCCATCGCTACGTTGCAGGCACCCAGAGAGCCCTGTCAAAGCCACGGGACTGTTCGAACCGCACGGTGTTGGTGGACTCCAGCGAGGACCGCCTCGAGGCGAAACCGAATCCGAATCCAAAACTGGATCGTTGCTATTTGGTGGGTCAAAACCTTCAAAACTCTATATCTATATCTATGTATATATATATATACACAATAACTCAGTATATATATAATATATATATATAGTATATGTATATATGTATAGTGAATGTATATATATATATAGTATATATACAGTATATATATATACATATAGTATATTTCTATATAGTGCATATATATATACAGTATATACATATATACTTAGTATATATATATAGTATATATCTAGTAAATATATATATATATGGTATATATATAGAGTATATATATATACAGTATAGAATGTATATATGTATATATATATATAGTATATATATACAGTATATGTATCTATGTATAGTGTATATATATATAGTATATATATAGTATATATCTAGTAAGTAAATATATATATAGCATATATATATAGTATATATATATAGTATATATATAGTATATATATATAGTATATATCTAGTATATATATAGTATATATATAGTATATATATAGTATATATATAGTATATATAGTATATATCTAGTATATATATATAGTATATATATAGTATATATAGAGTATATATATAGTATATATATAGTATATATAGAGTATGTATATATATATAGTATATATATAGTATATATATAGTATATATATAGTATATATATAGTATATATATAGTATATATATAGTATATATATAGTATATATATAGTATATATATAGTATATATATAGTATATATATAGTATATATATATAGTATATATATAGTATATATATAGTATATATATAGTATATATATAGTATATATATATATATTATACACATAGTATATATATATATGTATATAATATGTATATATATATATAATATGTATATATATAATATGTATATATATATATGTATATATATATATGTATATATATATTTGTGCAACATGATGTTTTTTGGTGGTTCGATGATTATATGGCATTTTACTAGCCTTGTTGATTGGGATCAACCTGATGAAGTTATACCCTCTGGTAATCCAACGTGGTTTCTGGACAATTCCCCATTTATAGATCATTTTCCTATTGAAATGCCAATTTCTGATGGATTTTCCAGCTAACAATGTTTGATGACCGGAGGGTAACATGAGTTCTTGCAAACAAGGCATCCCAAAAGGAAGATGTCATGTATGCCAGTTCGATTTTTATCGTGAATGACATAAAGGAAATGAAATGGGGATCCAAATGTATCATATACAATTTTGAAGGGCAATGAACATCCATTTACATCCATTTACCAGCTATTTAACCGTGTTCGTCAGGGTACCAGGGTTTTGACCTGTGGCTGAATAGCCTGAATGAGTGAGAGATAGGTTACACAATTGAACCGCACATGGACTGAAGGGTTGACTGATTCATTGAGTGAGCATCTTCTCTGACCCTCTCTCCTCAGTTGCATCTTCATTGGCCAATCATTCGAAACAGTGGCAATTCACATTCCATGACCGTTCACGGGAAAAGAGTTCTTCCGCCAATAAAAGGGACCTTTTTTTCCGATCAGGTGCAAACTCGGGAGGAGACGGAGGACAATTATTCCTTTATTCATTCTTTTGAATGCATGGTGAAGTCACCCGAAGACTGCGATAAAGCCGTGGCTTGGGTCCCATGGGACGGCTATTACAGTGCTTGCTGCTTGGACCAGGCCATTGGAAAATGATGTTCGAAGCCGACTTTTTGGGTCCCCTCTTTTTGGAGGAACTGAAAAGACACTTTAGGACATAATGGGCCATAAATTACTTAATTGGACATAGTCAATAGTCACCTCTCCATCTCTACTTTTGTCATTTTCTGACATTCTTGCTTATTTTAGACTATTCATATCTTTTGCAAAGCACCTCTTGTTCTACATCAACCGGGGCTTGCTCAGGATGACCTAGGTGGCTGAGTCCAGGAAACAGGAAGCATGATAGGTTGGCGGCTAGCGGCAATAGGATTTCATTGCAGTGCATACCTCTCAACCTATACATGTTCGAATGTGAATGTGTATATATAGTATGTATGTATATACCTGTGTCTATACCGTATACAGTATATATATATATATACAGACACACACACACACACGTGCACACACACACACGCAAATCTGCCAAGACATTTTGTTAAGATGTTCAGAGGCAGTCAATTCGGGAAGTGCCCTTTGGGGCAATCACTCAATTTGAGATATGTGTATCCAGTGTATCTCTGTGATGGTAACGTCTCTGTCACAGCGTTTGAACTTTCAACCAGAAAGAAGTTCGGTCCTTCTTTTGCAGTTGCATTCTTCCTGATAATCTTTAACCAGTCTTCTACTTTCAACTCCAGGTATTTTCTGTCCCTTCAACTTTGCTACATTTACGCCTTGTTTGGCATCCTACAATGTGAGGCAAGAACCTATTTATGTTTTTGGTTGTTAAAGATATGATACACAGTACATATATGTTTATGATACACAGACATATGAGATACACAGTACAGGTTGTTAAATGAAGTCTTTCATATATGTATTGTGTATCGTCCACGCATCGCATATTTTGGACATTTTCTTTGGACATCTTATCCTGTGCTCCAATCCCTTTTTTTTTTCTCCGAGCACATAATTGAAGGTTCAACAATCTTTCCGCAAAGGCTGGATGAACGAATGAATGAATGAAAGAAATGAACGAATGAACGAATGAATGAAAGAAAGAAAGAATGAACGAATGAATGCAAGAAAGCAAGAAAGAAAAAATGAATGAAAGAAACAAAGAAAGAAATAATGAATGAAATGAATGAATTAATGAACCAATGAATGGAAGAAAGAATGAATGAATGAATGAATGAATGAACGCATGAATGAAAGAAAGAAAAAATGAATGAATGGACGAATGAAAGAAAGAAATAATGAATGAATGGACGAATGAATGAAAGAAAGGAAGAAAGAATGACTGAACGAATGAATGAAAGAAAAACAGAAAGAAACAATGAATGAAATGAATGAAATGAATGACATGAATGAAATGAATGAAATGAATGAAATGAATGAAATGAATGAAATGGATGAAATGGATGAAATGGAATGAATGATTGAATGAATGCATGCATAAATGAATGAATGCATGCATAAATGAATGAATGCATGAATGAATGAATGAATGAAATGAAATGAAATAATGAATGAATGAATGAATGAATGAATGAAATAAAATGAAATGAAATGAAATGAAATGAAATGATATGAATGAATGAATGAAATAAATGAAATGACATGACATGACATGACATGAAATGAAATGAATGAATGAATGAATGAATGAAATGAATGAATGAATGAATGAATAAATGACATGAATGAAATGAATGAAATTAATGAAATGAATGAATGAATGAATGAATGAATGAAAAGAATGAAAATACTGAAAGAATGAAAACAATGAAAAAAATGAAAAGAATGACAATAATGAAAATAATGAAAAGAATGAAATGAATGCAATGAATGAAATGAATGAAATGACTGAAATGAATGAAATGAATGACATAATCAAAGAATGCAAGAAATGACATGAATGAATGACATGACATGAAATGAAATGAATGAATGGAATGAATGAATGAATGAATGAATGAAATAAAATGAAATGAAATGAAATGAAATGGTATGAATGAATGAATGAAATAAATGAAATGACATGACATGACATGACATGAAATGAAATGAATGAATGAATGAATGAAATGAGTGAATGAATGAATGAATGAAAGAAAGAAAGAAATGAATGAATGAATGAACGAATGAATGAGTGAATGAAACGGAATGAATGAATGCATGAATGAAAGAAATGAATGAATGAATGAAATTTGCCGACCTCATCTTCCAAAAGTGTTCTGAAACCATCAGTTTTTTTGGCATTTTTATGTGAAATCGAGCTTTCTCTGCAGTCCTGTGCGCATTTTGCCGACCTCATCTTCCAAAAGTGGTCCGAACGTCGCAGTTTTTTACGATTTTTATGTGAAACCGAGCTCTTGCTACAGTCCTGTGCGCTTTTTGTCAACAACTTTTGCAGATCGAGGCCCGCACCCCCGGAAACAGAGACCCTACTTTGGCGACCACGGAAGCCACTGTACCTGAATAAATGCAGGGTTTCGCGCCCGAGAGCCTTTTCAAACCTGAATTCAGGCGTTCCCGAAATGTTCCACTTCCCAACTACTTGATGATGATGTGGTTGACATGATGATGTGGTTGACATGATGGTGAGAACGCTGGCCATGACAATTGTCCGTAGCTCGGAAGTTTTCTCACTAAACTTCCTTTGATAAAGAACTTCGAACAAAACAGCTCTTCCGGAACCCCCACAGGCCCCACAATCAACAAAGAACACTGTCAATACCAGTTGGCATGCCAGAACTTTTGTTTGGTTGGGGCTAGGAAACAAAAGACAACTGTGTATATGCAAATTGGTTTAAAAGTTTAACCCTGCACATATACACATCTATATATATATATATATGTCAACAGATACATATACCCATACATATACATATACGCATACATATACATATGCATTTCCTTGTACATACATAGATATAGATACAAAGATACATAGATACATAGGCATATGGATACACAGATACATAGAAAGAAAAAAGATAGATAGATAGATAGATAGATAGATAGATAGGTAGATAGTTAGATAGATAGATAGATAGGTAGATAGTTAGATAGATAGATAGATTAATTAGATAGATAGATAGATACATACATACATGCATACATGCATACATGCATACATGCATAGATACATACATGTATACATGTATACATGTAGACATACATATACACACATACATATCCATATGTATATAGCTATATACACATTTATTTTAAATATATGTATCTGTATCTGTATGTGTCTATGGGTATGTGTATGTACATGTATGTGTATATGTACATGTGTATGTGTATGTACATGCGCATGTGAATGTAGATGTAAATGCATATGTATATGTCTACATGTATATCTATACATACATATTATCTATGTATCCAATCTTTCTCTATGTTTCTATGCTGATATTGATACCTTAGTATTGTCACTGATATCTATATCGGCATCTATGTCTGCATCCAAACCTATATCTTCATCTCTATCTCTACGAATCAACCTATCCCATTCACTCTATGCAATCTTGTATCCTATCAGATCCCATCTATTCCTGAGACATGGGTTTCCATGACCCACGGAAACCAGGCGTAGGCGTCAAAAACACATTAATAGGGATGAATAAAAACAATAATAAGAAAAGGAAGGAAGGAAGGAAGGAAGGAAGGCAGGCAGGCAGGCAGGCAGGCAGGCAGGCAGGCAGGCAGGGAGGGAGGGAGGGAGGGAGGGAGGGCAAGCAGGAAGAAGGAAAATCGATGAAGACCATCGAGAAATCCACGAACACCATAGAAATTGTGAACCACAAGTGCGCCAAATAGCAAAAAACAGTGCCCCAGGTTGTTCTCATTTTTTTCGCCCTCTGACCAAAGAGTTGTTTCCAAATGATGCCGCTCCAGGCATTTCTGCAAAACTTACAGCGACCTTCAGTTCATGGTAATATTTATGTTGATCCCTATTTATTTTTGATCCAGTGTACGAATGTCGCAACCTCTGCCCTTTCACATGTAGTTTCCCTTAATGTTTTTTTGACACCTATTTATATATTTTTGATTCCTTAGATTATTATTTTTGTCATCCCTCAAAAGGTTCTTTTTGATCCCCCTCCCACAGAAACCAAGGCTATTGGGCTACGGATGTGAAGACGGGTAACAAGAGCTGCGTTTCCGAAGGCTTCTTTTCGGCAGGCGATGCAACGTCTTTCTCGTGTCCGAACAAAACCGTCTTGGCAAACTGAAAACCTGCTAATTAATTAGGCGAAACTCAGCTTGCAGGAAAACAATGAAACATGTGTATAAATAATACTGTACATATACTCTATATATATACTCTATATATATACTATATATATATACTATATATATACTATATATATACACTATATATATACACACTATATACATATACTATATATATACATATACTAGATATATACTATATATATATATATTCATATATTTACTAGATATATACTATATATATATATTTACTAAGTATATATATACTATATATACACTATATAGAAATATACTATATATATACTATGTATATACTATATATATACACTATACATATATACATATACTGTATATATATATATTATATACTATATATATACACTCTATATTTATACTATATATATATACTATATATATACACTATATATATATTATATTACATATTTTTATCATATTATATATTGTATATTTTTAAATATTATCATATTATATTTTATTATATTATATTACATTATATTATATTTTATATTATATAACACCTTATTATACGATATTATATTATATTTTATTACGCTACACTATATATTCTATTGTATTATAATTATATTATATTATATCATATCATATCATATAATATTATATTATATTATGTTATGCTATGTTATGTTATATTATATGATATTATATTATAATATATCTTTTTAATATAACTTTTTGTATATATATATATTATACACATACACACACATGCCAACAAATACCGCAAAGTCGCAGAATACCGAAACACTAAACTTGCTCATCCACCGCGATGTACGAAATATTTTGGCACTTGCCCGAAATGCCGCCGCACATTTTGCGTACTTTCAAGCGCGTTTGAACTGCCCCGTAAACCATCCAAAAAGACGCTGAAGTTCCAGAGGTCCAAGTATGCTGAATCCGTCGCAGCTGTTACAAGCACTTCACAGCATATCCAATCAAAACGAATATCAGCCAGCAAAACGGCACTCATTGAACCAGTGGCGGTACTGTTTATTTTCAAAACAAACTCCATGTGAGCAGTTTTTTTTTTTTTGAATTGATGGATTTTGTATGACGAGGGAATTCAACATATGACGTAAGCTTCTAGATTTGACACATGCGAAGGCATTTCGCGAAAACAAATTTAAAACTATAGAGCTATAGATCATACAAGACAATGGCTATAGCTCTGTTTCTGGCACTAGTGCTCCGTGTTTGTCTTGAAACGCTGCTCAAACGTCGCCTCAAAGGTCTTCAAACGTCTTGCCAGCTGCATGCCTTCCTAGAATTCCAAGCCCGTTTGCGAAGCCCGGCGAAGCCCCCGTGAAGCCGACCAATTTCCTGCTATCACCCTCTCGCCTCCGCATCTGAGGCTCAAACCTCACCTTCCTTTCCCCCACCTGCTGAGGCATGGTATTGTGCTCTTGCTAGACAAGAGCCCCCGTGAAACCAGTTCGCGAAGGCAAACGTGTTCCGCGAAGCCGCGCGAAGCCAACCTTTGCACAAATCCATGCCTTGCGTAGCCACTAGCGACGCCCCCGCATCAGTGTATAGGCCTTTGGCAACCAAAAAAAACACGGCTCATGTGGGCACAGGCAGCATCAGGAAAGTCTCCAAAAAACAATCCGAAATCGACCCCTCCGAATTGGGACATGACCAACACTGCTGTCATGTGTAGGCACTCAACTTGGGACTCCTGCTGTCAACATTGATGTTTTACGTTCAGGCGAGACAGGTTGCCACGATATCATCCATGGGTGCCATCCACATGCTCCACGCCAGGCACCTATGATATCTGCTTAGTGACCGAAACATCGGTGACCCCATTGTTCAAACAAGCGGTCGAAGAGCAAACGGAAGAATGCACGAAGCATTTGTGTCACCTGGACTGAAACAGGCTGTGGCTGAAATCTTCCAGATTTTGCTGCGTATTGGAAGTCATACTACAAGATCTTACGAGCATTTGCTAAGATGAAATCCGCATTCCTCGCTGTAACAATGCTAGCGGATTTCGTGAAAAAAATTGAACTTTTTAGCCAATGCTCAAGTTTTTCGGTGTGCAGGAAGTTTCGGTGGAATGCTAGCTGGTTCAACAGTCCATTGGATCAACAAGAAATATGTTTGGGGAAGCACCAGCGCACAGCTTTTCTGGTTTGCTTATCAACATGGACCACTGTGGATGATTTTGTGCGTTCTTACAAGTCTGGGGAAGTGGCAGGCACGTGGATGATGAACCTGCTCAGCTGTCAGCAACATTCACTTGGGAGTTGCACCCCAGTCTTCGAATCAAATGGGGGATCATCTTGGAGATTGTGTGACATGTTTTCCCTTGCTCACCAGGCAAGATAGCGAGAGAAGGTTCGTGGATGAAAGAGTCTAAAAAGGCCATGGGAAGACGTCAAACGCACTATGTTTTCGATGGTGGGAACGCTGGCCCCCCCCCCCGATGCCCTCCTGTCTGTCATGTATGGGGAGGCCATGGAAACCAGGATGCGAAAACTGAAAACCGGGAACCAAAATGGCAGCTTTTTGGGGCCCAAACAGTTGTTGAACACATGACACAATCCTTGGAAATTGGGCCTGTACATCTATATATATACAAAGTAAATGGTTTGTGATTTTGAATATATCATATATTCTTTATTTCCATCCCTCCCGGCTGATGATCCCCGTTGATATTTTTCAAAGCCTCTCTGAGACGTGTTCTGTGGGCTTATGCCCAACATTTCCATCCCGGTCCTGGTTGGGGTCCAGGCATCATCAGACTGAGCTAGTTGACAATAAACAGTTTGTGACATCCAGGCATTATTAGGTCCCGGGGGCCCACCCCATTGCTGTACCTAGTCTGATGATCCCCATTGACATTATTTGCCACAACTGGGATTGTCCCACCATCACCCCCCCGTTGCGTCAGGACAAGGCTCTGAAATCCGCGTGGCCAGAAAAGCCCTGGTTCGGCACGGGCTGGGGTGAGATGGCTGCCGAGAGCTGTCCTGCCAGCAGGAAGGGGATTGAGGCCTTCGACTTAGAAACGCTGCGGAAGAAGGTTGCAATTGGATGGAGGAATAACTTCAACAAGAAGTTGCTGCGATTTGCTTTAGTTCCTGTTGAGTTTTTTTTTGATTCCAAAGTCCCTTTCTTGTTTTGGGGTTGTTGTAGCTTGTGCGATGTTTTGAAGAGATCTTCTTGTGCCATGTTCTTTGATCGGGGTAGTTTAGCTCACTCCGTGTTTGTATGGCCAGATTTCTTTGCTTCTGAGAGACCTTCATTGGTTGATTATTCAGCACTTTTGGGTTTGTGGTTTGTCTACGTGGGCCGTGATCGCTGGGTAGACAAGCAGCAAGTTACTGAATATGGGATTCAAGTTGTTGCTGGAAGTTGTTGAGAGGGGTTCACACACACACACATTTTTTGTGAGGCTGTAGATTTTTCATACCGGTCTTTGGAGTCCAATTTCGGGGTATAGTAGAGGTAGCATGTGGCCATCTGCTAGCCACAAGTTGGCTTACAAGCACAGTTTGGTAGTCCTAACCCCATGAGGTTGTGCGGTTGCGCTACAGCAGATGACTGCACATGAACTGTTTATGCCCACCATGGCGTGAGAAGAGAAGCGCGATAAGAGAAGCGCGAAAAAGAGTTGGGGATTTGGGACGGGGATGGGTCAAAAACTGTCAAAAGGATAGGGACCCCCGAATTATGAGTGGATGGCCACTTTGGGTGAAAAAATCTTTTGTTCACTGGTTGGGATATGGGATTTTTCCTTTTGGAACATGCTAGTGTGCAAGATTTGGCTGTTGAACAACCACTTTTGCTCGGATTCTATTCATTTTTCTAGCTGCTTCTGGAGACCGTGTATTCAATATAACTTATAACATATACATCTGTGCAGTTTCTGAGAATCAGGATTCCATCACAATGGCTTCACTGATCACTGATCAGGGTACCAGAGTGACCTTACGCGTAGCCACTTCAACCGTGGGGCCCAAGGTTGATCCACACCAAGCCTGATGCCAAGGACCAAATACGTTCAAGCAGTTCATACCTACTGTCGCGGCCTCAAATATCTGGTCAAAATGTGACCAACCCAGAGTTCTGGGCGAAATTTTTGAACGGGGACTGGCTTGCCAGAAATTCAGCATTGAACAGTACCTGGTTCTTGTGTGGGAGGAATTAAAAGGGTGTCAAGTTTTGCAGACAGCATCTTGAGCCTCATGACACCTGCTGCAACTAGGGGGAATTGAGCTGTTCTTTTCAGCACAAATATGCACAACTATATAAGTTTGGATCATCAACTATGGAGAACGTTGACCCAAACTTGAATGAGCACCTATCAACAGCTTGAAGAAACCACCGCAGCTGTTGTCATTTGTTTCTTTCCCTATCTTATCTGCTTGGTGGTTTCAAACATCTTCAAACATCGAATCTGGAATGATCAACAAGTTATAGTATTCAACCTATGGCATCTCGGGGCTCAGTGCATCGCTTGTTTCGCTTGGACCTGCAGGTCCGGGCGTCTATGCCTACTGCTACGACGACGCCATGGGGCTGCTGCAATGCTCAGCAGACTCCTACTACCAACTCGAGTTCTTCTGCTACTCGGACAGACCAACGGGTCCTGAAAGATAACCTTCCGTCTTGGATATGACAATTTTGAAGGTTGAGACTGGATTTCATGAGCCCTACTCTAAATTTGATGATACACACTATATATATAATATTATATATTATATATTATATACTATATATATATTATATATATATATATTATATTATATGTTATATGTTATATGTTATATATTATATACTATAAATTATATATTACATTATCTTATGATCTTATGTATAATATTATGTTATTTTATAGTATATATATATATCATATATTGTATTATATACGATGTATATATAATATTAGATATTATATACTATATATTGTATATTGTATATTATATATTATATGTCATATATTATATTATATACTATATATTATCTATTATATACTATATATTATATATTATATATCATATATTATATATTATATATTATATATTATATATTATATATTATATATTATATATTATATATTGTATATTCATTAAATATTCTACATTATATATTATATTTTATATATATATCATATATCATATATTATATATAATAGTTGAAATATATCGACCCCTGAGCCCCACCATGTATAGCATGTGCAGGTGGGTCTAGTGTAGGTATGCCTCAGCTATGAGTCCAAACTGGTTTCTAAGTATTTACACCCGAATGTAGAAACCTTAGTGCACACTCCACCTAGAAGCGTTAGGTAGATGTTGTAGCCTTAGTTAGAAGTAGGTAACCTCCGTATCCCAACAACTACCGGGGTATGTAGTAGGTTGCGCTACTGATGCTTTGGCTCAAGTGCCTGGTTAGAAAAGGCGCTTGTTTCGTTGATGCAGGGTTCAGCGGTTTGGTTTCCCCTTTTCTTTTGGGTTTCCGTTCCGACCCCCTGTTTGTCTGGTTATCAGCCGTAAGGCTTGTTGTTTCTTTTTGTTGGGGAACCTAAACCGCGGAAACTTGCTTAGGCCCTAACTTATTCGCACTTTTCGCTGACACTCTTGCATGCCCTCAGACGGATCGGGTGAGGTCGCTGCTGATCACAGCGCGACTGAGGAAACGCCAGTGGAAGGAGACGAGGCGGCTGGCGAAGCAGGAAGCGTTGAGCAAACAGCTCCGCCTACTGCCGACCCGGTAGCCGAAGGCTCCCGAAACTGGGCCGATCTTTCTGAGGTATTGGAGTCGACCGCGCTTTCTGGTGAGGCGGCATCTTCTGAGCTGGTACAGGTGAAGGAGGAGCCATTGGAGCTTCAAGAGGCGCAGTCCCTAGGTGCAGTTCTTTCAACGATTGGCTTGCCAGAGGAGGTCGCCGACGATCCCGTCGCGACAGAAGAAACTGGGGTTGACACTTCACTTCAAGATCAGTCATTTTTGGAACCACCTTCTGATTTGGGTAACCCAGCAGAAGCTGCTTTCACGGACATTGATCGAGCAAAAGAAGAAGGAGCAGATCCTCAGCAAGAATCTTCAACTCTTCTGGAACAGGCCGAGTGCGAAGTTGATACAACAGTTTTTGCAGATCCAGTTGATTCTGCCGACATTGATTTCACAGGTGACGACACAACCGTAGTTGCTGAGGTTCCTGAGGCAGAGACCGAAGGTCTAACTGCCGACGCCGTTGCATCCGAAGCAGCCGTTGCATCCGATCCTGTGGTCGCTGACACATCCGGTGTCGCGACAGAAGCCAACACTAGTTGCCCTGATCAAATAGTCCCACCACCAACTAGCCCTAATCTTGTAGACCCAGGTGCCGATCCTATCCAAGTAGGACATTCCCCTGCCAGTTCATCAACAGCCCATCGACCAAGGGTTCGATCCAGCAGGGGCGGTGCTCAAACCAGGTGGCAAGAAGCAAAGCGAGCTTGGTGGAACGACTTCGAGGCATACCAAAATTGGCTTTACCATAATTCTGGAGGGGACATCGTAGGTGGCTTTTGGTTAAGAAAGATTTCTTACGAACAAGCCGACGAAAGCATTCGCTGGTTGATAGCTCTTCATTCAAGACTTGTCGAGGAGTTCCCAACATCACAGTGCTTAGCTTTAGCCTACCAAATCCTTATCCCCTACAAAGAGTGGGCTCACATTCACGGGTTGGACAGGCGTAGAGGTACTGCCCACGCACAGCAAGTGATTGATTCCGGTGAATTACCTCCAAAAAGGGTCATTAACCAACGAATCTTAGGGGCAGAGCACCCACGCGCAGAAGAGTGGGATAGATATTATAGATATATAGGCCCACAGCAGCAACCCCGTCCAAAGGTGGTTAGGCCTGCTGCCGCAACACCCGTTGCTGGCGCGGCAAGTGGAGGCACAGATCCGACTCCGGTCCAGCAAGGACCCAAAGAGCCTGGGCATCCACCGCCAAATTGGCAACCCTCATTGAGGGCACCAAACCATCCGGTCCAACCGCCGCGTCCAAGGGTTACTGTCTCTGTCCATCCAGTCCCAAAAGCCACAAAGTCAGATTCTCAAGGGGTCGCTGCCTTTGGGCGCGACGTAGCACCAGTCCCAGTAGCTAGCCCTGCTAAGCCACCATCTAAAGCTAGGCCCAAGGCTCCTGATTCTAGTGACACAACCCTTGCAGATAGAGTTCGAAGTTTGCCACCTCCACCTAATAACATCGCCCCTAGTCCGCCTCCTCATAAACAACCACCTTTACCACCATTACCACCTCCTAATACACCGGTGATAATTTTCCACCCCCACCATCTCATCCGCCGCCAACTGCACAGGAGCTCGCTGCCCGCAGTTCCCGATCAGCAGAGGCGCGAGAAGAGACTGCTCCGGAGGATCCCAACGATCCACCGCCTGAAGAGGAGCAGTGGGTGGAGGAAGAGGAGGAAGAGGAAGTTTTTGAGGAGGACGAAGTAGTCGAAGTTGAGGTTGAGGCCGAGGCAGAACCCGAATTCCCTGACTTCACAACAACAGAGCACGGCCGTGAGGTTTCCACGCGCCGTCGTAGGCCTAAAAGAACTAGGTCCAATCCGCCATTGCCTGTCAATCTAGTCCCAAGGGAAACCCGTGAACGAATTGAACTTAATCAAGAGCTTTATAGAGCCCGTGCCATAACCGGTGATTCTAGAAGACCTCTTGCCTTAAGACCCCAAGTGCACGGTTACCCCGAAATTAGAATTGACTCCGCTGGCACCTGGGCTAGGGTCGCTGATCCTCCGATCGCGTACGCGCCGCAGACTTTGCCTTTTATCGTTCCTCACGCTGAAGCTCCAGAGCTTGGGGTCAACTCGCACGAGCTTCCCGACTCGTTGTGGCGTGATCCTGCACTTAGATCCCATCGGACTGTTCTTGGTTCAAGTAATTTAGACCCCAATAGTGTCTATAATATTTCCACCAACAACCCCGAGACCGAATCTGAGGGCTCTGAAACCGCTGAGACTCGAACCGCCAGGTTTGTTTCATCAGGTCAGGCATTTGTCGGCCAGCAAGAACCGTTCGACGCTGGCTTCGCTGAGCGCACCCCTGCCCGTCCAATTGAGTCTCCACCAAAGAGACAACGTCCTAACATAAGAACCTCTCAAGTCCAACGTGATAAGCCGGCACAGCCCAGAAAAGATCCAGTTTCTGCTGCACCAACACCACCTGCAGCCCCTACAGTACCATCTTTGACTGTTCCCCCATTAAGCAGTTCTAGTAGTTCAGCTTATCCTCCCTGGAGGCAGTCCTTGCAAAGTGCTGGAAGTGGGGTCGCTGACACAGGCCGTGTCGCGACAGAGACTGCATCAGAGCCAGCCGGCTCTCCCGTTGCGCGATCCAGGTCAAGAGCACCCTCAGCCGAGACTGCGCCCGCAGTTGCTGCCAGAACAAATAGGGGAAGGGAAGTACCAATCTCAAATAAGATTTCATCTAAGTCTCGCAAAAGAGCTAGTTCCGTTCCAGTGCCAATTCGTGCAAAGGGGGCTGCTGTCCCCGACACGCCTCAAAGGCCAGAACCCTTACCACCAGCTCCAGAGCCTAAGAAGAATCTTCCGTGGAAGCATCCACCTGTTGGATCCACCGCGCCTGCAGCACCCGCTGCACCTGTGGTAATTCCCCCAAGACCTAATAGGCCAGTTCCCCCTAATCCAGCTAATCTTAAGCCCGTAAAACCTCCTCCGCCAGGAATCGAGAGGGCAAGACCTGCTGGCCAACCGTCCCGAGATCTTCCTCCACTTGATCCCGAAGGACAACAGCAACAGCAAGAGGCACCAAGCTCAGGATCTGGCCTTGCACCCCACGTCCGTGGGCGGCCTTTGCCTGAACCAACACCAGATCGGCCAGAGGGGGTCGCTGGCTCTGTGCCGCGACATTACCAACAGCAACCCAACTTAGTCTCTAAGGTAGTCCACGTTAATACATCCAACATAGTTGTTTGCATCGACTGGCACGATACCATTGACCAAGCTCTCAACCCCATTGGTGAATTGTCTTCCCATTTAGTTGATAAGCTTCGTACATTGACTAGGATTGCTGGTAATCAAATTGAGTTCCACATTGTCTCATACGCCGGCCAATCTAAGATTGACAGCACCAAGGCCGGTGCTGAGCACGTGATTAGCCAATTGGTCGCTGAAGGTTTGCCGTTTAGAGAATTGCACCTGGCCCGCTATCCTTGCGGAAGGCAGGGCAAATCATCTATCATCTCTGCACTCCAGGCACATTGTCTCATCGACGACCGTTCCGACATTATAAACGAGTGCAAGCAACTCGGCATTAAAACCATCCGATCAGAGGGGCGTCCTGACAAGGAACTCTGCTGGATTGCAGAGGTAGAGGACTGGATCCGGCACGAGGGCATCAGCTACATCCTGCACGCCCGCCGTCCAGTTCCTCTTAGGACCAATCAATTTTACCCCAACTTTGGGGGTCAGGACGATCGTACACTTTGGTAGACCCTGGCACAAGTCCAGCGGTTCTACAACATCCGATAGGTGCATCCGAAACGCCGAGGTAGCTGAGCTTGCTCGCTACACTCCGTCGGTCTGTCCCTGTCGT